AAAGTAACCGTTAAGAATGGTTTTGATGATATGTATTCCATTAAATATTGATTGTATATAAACAGGTTTTCTAGAAAGGAAAATGAAATAAACAATTAGTGATACCTTTGATTTATTTTTAGATTTTCTTCTTTTTCAACACTATGATTTCTTTTCTCTTTAGCACATTAACTTTTTTTTTAATACTATAATTTTCTTTATTTTTAATATATTGATTTATTTCATTTTTAAGAGTTCCCCTCAAATTGAGGAATAGATGTTATTCCGAACTTGCTAATAAGAATTTGGAACGTTACATTATTTACACTTTTAGTTACCAAGTCTGGTAGTTGAAAATTGGTGGGCCTATATGAAGTACATATTAAGCTATTGTCAAGTTTTTTTTGATAAAATCAAATTAATTTTAAGATTTTTCAGGATTCTTTTTATTCATAGTAGTCCGCATAACTCTTGTGCTATTGGGCAAAATTTTGATTCTAGACTTGATCTTGTAACTATATTTTATTTTTACTTCTCCAAGTAATTGGATTGACTTCAAAGAAGGTACAATAGCATGTAGTAGATATTTTATCTACAACTAATCTTGCATAATCTACATCAGTATGGGTTTCTAGGAGTAATTTGTCATTTCTCTTAAATATAATTCTTTTCCTTGGTGACCTTTTTAAGTATTAAAATATCTTGTATGTTGCTTGTAGGTGCACTTCTTTCAGATTGTGCATGAATTGATTTATAACATTTACTGCATGGATAATATCTACTTTTGTGTGAAATAAGTAGATCAATCTCCCAACTTATCTCTTACACATTTTTTTTATTTACTTATGTATCTTCATATGTTATTTTTAATTTGTTATTAGGATCAATAAGAGTACTATCTGGTTTGCATACTAGTCTGCAATGATTTTTAGCAGGTCATGAACATATTTTTATTAAGAGATAAAAATTATAAATTTAGAGCGGATAACTTTAGTTCCCACAAAATACTTCAACTTGCTTAACTCCTTGATTTCAAATTATTTTGTTAGGCATTGTTTTAGTCTTTATTGTTCATTTTTATTATTTATTGTGACAATAATATCATCAATGTATACTCCAAGAGCCTTAACACCCTTTGACATTGAGTGTTTAATGAAAAGAATACAGTCTCATTGAGTCTGGTTAAATATCATATTTATCATCACCCTTACAAACCTGTCAAACCATACTCTTGGTGATTGCTTAAGTCTATACAAAGTCTTCTTTAGTTTATATACTTTATTTGGTCTTGCTCATTTGTCAAAGCCTAGTGGAATATTCTTATAGATTTTTTCCTCTAAATCTCCATATAAGAAGATATTTTTTAAATCAAACTATTGTAATTGTCAATCAAAATGAGCAACTAATGATAATAAGATTCATAGAGTACTCATCTTGGCTACTGGTATAAATGTTTCCTAGTAGTCTATTCTATATGTTTATATATAGCCTTTTGTCATTAGTCACACTTTATATATCTCAATTGTTCTACTTTATATTTGTTTGAGAAAACTCATTTGCATCCCACTAGTTTTTTTTTATCTTTTGTTAAATCCATCATTTCTTATGTTTGCTTCTTTTCAAGTTTCTATATTTCCATATTCATAGTTTTTTTTTTTTTCATTTCTCATAGGATACTTTAGATATTATTTTAGGAATATACTCATTACTTAAATTTATGAAGAAATCCTTAAGTCAACAAACATTTACCAAATGAAACAAACTATGAGATGAGATATAGAAGATGTTTATTACGTTCTCTTGTACTTTGGTGAAATGCAATAAGTATATCATTATCATAGGAATATATAAGTTTTTTGGGACTTTTAAGATCAAATTTATATTCTTGGACTAGTTTTGGCTCAATACTTGACATCTTCTTCCTTATATTCACCTAAGAAAATGTAGAGTCTGATATGATCTTTGGTTTTGAGGTGTGTGGCAAAAAGGGTAGGTTCAATTCAATTAAAAATTACGTATCTTT